CCTCTTCTGACCTCTGCAGCATTGCATGACATGGGTGCACTCACATACATGCAGGCAATATACTCATACACATAAAATAAAAAAAATAATGAAAACATTAAAAAATTTTTTTTTCAGTTGAATTGCTCGGATTTTAATTTTTTCATTTTTGAGACAGGATATCTTTATGTGGTCAGGCCTCCACTTGGCATCCTGCCTCGACTTCCTGGGTGCTGGGCTCACAGGCTTGTCCAGCAGCTAGCTCTTTAAGTTTTGTTTTGAAGCTGCTTTTGCTACTAACAAATCTGGCCTCAAGCACCTCTAATTACAGTTTTAACTGTCTTATTCAAATCCCTTGGGTTTTTTAAAATTTGGTTATTGTTTTTTCTGATGCTGGGTATTGAAATCAGGGCTGCCATGCAAATTTGAACATAAAATTGATTCACTTTGATGTGTTCAGTTTCCCATTTTGAAACATATTTCTTTTATAGTGTTTTGTTCTAAGGGTTCTTTGTTAATTTATAGATCTAGTCAGAGAAATTGGTTTATATGAGGTTGATTATTTATAATTTGTTGAAACTTTCTTGGTTTTATATGTATGAGTGTATTGCCTGCATGTGTGTAAGTGCACCCATGTCTTATAATGCCCGTGGAGGTCAGAAGAAGGTATTGGATTCCCTGGGACTGGAGTCTATAAGGACAGTTGTTAGCTTCCATGTAGGTGCTGGGAATTGAATGCAGGTCCTCTACAAGGGTAGTTAGTGCTCTTAACTGGTGAGCCATCTCTCCAGCCGTGTATAATTAATTTTTTAATATGTTAATTTTTATAACGTTCCACGTGTTCACCTTGATTTCTGTGCTGGTCCTTTATGATAAATGTTACTGTCTTTCTTATTCAGGGTCTATTTCAAGTTCTCACTGACTTTTCCTTTTTCAGGAAGCTGACACTGATGAGAATCAGGGAACCTTGACATTTGAAGAGTTCTGTGTTTTTTACAAAATGATGTCATTGAGACGAGACCTTTATTTGTTGCTCTTGAGCTACAGTGACAAGAAAGATCATCTGACTGTGGAGGAACTGGCTCAGTTTTTGAAGGTGGAGCAAAAGGTATCATTAGCCTGGGGAATGGAATGTTTACTCAAAAATGCCTGTGAGAGATGTGATTATTTTTTGGTCATTGGATGTGAGACTTTGTCAAATCTAGGATACACAGGTAAACAGTACAAGTCCATAAAACACTTACCTATGAATAATTTAAACATCTTGCTAGGAGCTTTCCAGAGAAGCGATACATTGAAAACTGGCTTATATATTTTTAACCTTGAATTTGTTGAATATGGATATGTATATTTTTCCACAAAGAAATGGATATTAAAGGTTTCATTTTGGATCCACTGTTAATATCTTCTTTACACTAATGCAATGAAACATTAAAGTAGTATAAATAAGCTGTTCCTGATGGTATAAATTAATGTTAATAATAATATAAGTTTATAATTGATTCACAGCATGGCTTTTTTTTTTTACTATGACATAATTCCTAACTAGCACTGTAGTAGGTCATAGATAAGTCAGAGAAGAACTTGATGTTTAATCATGTGAAAAGATTAGTAAATCTATTTATGGTAAAACATTAAGCTTTAATATAATATAGTTTGAATTGTTTTTAATAAGTTTTGTCTTTTCATACTATTCTTTTACAATTCCTCAAGCTCTCATTTCTCAGTACAAGTTTTTGTGTGGTTTTGTTTGATTTTAGTTGTCTTGAGTTTATATTAGAGTGGACTTGGTGAGCCATTTCATTTGAGCACTTTTTAAATCATGATCTGAATATTGGTAGAATGTTATGTGAACCAAAACATAGTACTTCCATGGAATCTCAATGAATAGAAATTGAGTCAATATTCAAATATTAGCAGGAGGTAAAGTTCTCCTAACTCTAAGTAGTAGAGTCTACCAGAGATGAAATAATTGGCTTTGGCCAATTTTTGTCATTGGAAACCTGCCACTATAGAAGCTTCTTAAGATACTTTATACATGTACTTTATACATGTACTTTATAAAAAGAGATTAAAAGGAGTTAATTTATAACAGGGAGATATTGCCTCTACTAGATACTATAGGCTAACAAAATAAAACCCCAATGCCAAGAATAGACTCCCACTCTTGAAACTGTTGACCAGGGGTCCCATAGACCCTCAAACATTACTGGCCATTGCCCCTGCTCTTGATTTCTCACTAGAACTTCATGGTAAGACCCTATACTGAAGACACTACATACATGAGCTATAGAACAATGAAAAATCAAGCTGGTGCTGACTTTAAAATGTCATCTCTACTGGCTAGCTTTCTTAGCACTGGAAGGGGCTACGCATGCTACCTGAAGGAAAAAATAATCATCAACCTTACCCAGCTATGAATCTCATGAATGTGAACTATAACAAAAACTGGCCTGGCAAGATATGCCCACCAATGTTAATAGTGGTGCAAATATTATGGGAGTAATCAACCATTCTTTTTTTTTTTTTGGTCTTTTTGAGACAGGGTCTCCCTGTAGCCCCAGCTGTCCTGGAACTCACTATGTAGACCAGGCTGGCCTTGAACTCACAGAGATCTGCCTGCCTCTGCCTCCCGAGTGCTGGGATTAAAGGCGTGAGCCACCACGCCCAGCTAACCACTCTTTATTTGGGTTGAAAGTCTACTTCATAGGATGGACCTCATACCTGACACTGATATCACATCTAGAAACCTGAGGCTAGATAGGAAATAGGGCACAAAGGAGAGTCTAATACTAGTTAACTTATTGTTATACCCATTGATTAATGCATCTCTCAACTCTCACCAGAGAAGCTTCCTTATGCAACAGATGATGATTAACACAGAAATGCACAACTGGCTAATGTGCAGAGAACAGGAGGCTGTAGAGTGCTTATCCCTGATAGTACACCTATATTAAACTTCTGCCTCCTAAGACTCAGAGATCATTGTGAAAGAGGGAGCAGAAAGGTTGTGAAAACCAGAGGTGGTGATGACCACAAGGAAGTTTTCCAGACAGCTGGTCAGTTACTCGTATGAATTCACAGCAGTGGTATCAGCATGCACAAGTCCCATGCAAGGTCAAACCAGACAAAATCCAACAGAGATGTGAGGAAGTGATTCTTGGTAGGTAAGCTCCAGTGCATGAACCCACACTGAAAGACATTTGGGGTCTCAAATTAGACTCTATTGGCCTTATTATATATATTGAATAGAGTACATTCAGTTGGGTACAAGCAGTAAGGGAAGTTGCTGATAAGGGAGGGGACCTAAATAACATCAAATTATATTGTATGAAAATTGCAACAAGTAATAATCAAATACATAGAGATTAGAGACGCATGTGCAAACATCTAAGTGTTAGTAGCACTAAAAATGAGTTTTTATGTATGAAACAGTATATTTTAAAATAAAATGGAGATCTTTTTTTAAAGGTTAAAACCTCATTCAATTTTATGTCTTACAGGGTTTATACTGAGTTCAGTATTGTATAACTGTATTAATTCAACTGTGAACCTAAAAATTTACAGCCAATATAAAAAGAGATGCATCTTTGCTCTGGAAATTGTTATTGAATATGTTAATGCTGTAATGAAATGCTTCTTCTAATTATCTGGTTATTAAATAAATAATTTTTAAAAAGTTAAAGAAAATTGCAACAATTAAATTAATTTTTTTAAAGAAAAAAAGATTAAATTGTGCTAGGCAGTTGTGATTGTATATGCTTACTTGACTTACTGTCTATATATAGAATAAACATGGCAGCATCTTTTGGAGGGATACTGGGGGAAGGTTTTGAGCAACAAAGGATTTGCAGCAAAAACAGATGTAGTTAAAGGTAGTTAACGGTGGAATGCATGCAGTGCTGAGTCAAATTTTTTGTGCATATTTTCTTTTTTAACATTAAAAAAATAATAAGCATTATTTTCAGAGCCCTTAAAAATGATTGGTAGAACCCAATAGAGGGATGCTTTTGGAAGCCTTTGTCAAGAAACTACAGTGGACTCTCATATGAACATTTGAAAATTGCCCTGTTCT